CATAAAGTCAAGACTTTATTAGCTGAGGAATACACCAAACTATACTGGGTTAAAGCATACGCAGGAAGCATAAACCCGGTGAACATCGACATGGTCACTGCAACTGAGTCACCAAGTATCAACCTGTTCCCACCGACCACACGTAGGGCAGCTGGAAGGCCTAGGAAGAGAAGGATTCACTCAGCCGGAGAGATCAGGGTAATAGTTCTAGCTTTCCTTTATCATCTTAACACAAAATAATTTCATTTATTGTTGTGGTTAACCGTTAATGAATAACTTGACAGTAAACTGGTGCGTTTAAATGAAAGATGACTTGTACCAGATGCGGGGGTGCGGATCACAACCGCGCCACCTGTAAAACACCTATCTAGAAGGGAGGCTAATTATTCGGGGAGGTGCAACGGAAGGAGTGTTTGTTTTTGAAGGTCTAATCTAGGGCAACCTTTTGCTTTTGGATATATAATATGATACTACTGTTCCCCAAAGCTCTTCCTTATTGACAAAATATGTAATATACGATCAGTGAAGAGAGTGTATTGCCCTCCATTGTAATGTCCGAAAACTAAACTGTTTGACGTTAATGAAGTTAGTTAACCGGTAACAATATCTGTTTACATTTAAAAAATTAAAAAGGCATATTAAGTAGGAGTAACATATTTAGATCACCAATATGTATTTATAAATGCCAGGGGTTATGTAAAATTACTGGTGAAATAATAGTTTATGAGACAAATATACGAGTAGATGGCATAACAATTATTAGACCTAGTTATCTCGGTTAACATCTACGGAGGCAGTTAACGTTTAAGGGAAACAAAGTAGTTAAATAGTTGTAGTAAACAAATGTGAACCGGGATAAGCGGTAGAGTTTAAAAATTAAAAGATGAAAACATTGTCTTAACAGTTAAAATATAGCTTAAGTCTGGGAGGGATTTTCAGGAGGCCTGGATAGGAACCAGAAAACCTTAACAGCCAGCTGTTTGGCAGCATCCGGGAGCACACGCGGGGTAATAGCTTTGCACCCTTCAACACCAACCAGGCAATGAGCATCAATAAGAAGACATGTTATAGCCGCATTGTCGGATGCTGATTCTGATTGAGGGATGCCTCTGGGCCTCGTGATAGTGAAGGCATTGGTGCTCTCATTACTTGCTTCGGGATTCCAACCTTTGATCATATATGGCATCATATTAGCAATCAGGTTGAGCTCTTTTTTGAGCACACCATCGGTCTTCATAGCAATGTGGCAATCCAGGACTTGAAGGACGCGAGCCTTAATGTCAACAACCACATCTACCCAGTGTTTCTGATTAATGTTGAACATGAAGTACAGTCGGTCAGCTGGGTTCTCACGTAGTTTCACCAGAACAACATCATTGAACTCCAATTTAATCCTATCTTTGACAGCCGTTTGACAAACCTTCCGTAATGACGCATCAAAGAAGCGGGAAGGCTAGTGTCATAGACCTTGAGTGAGTTAGATGGAGTCTCGTGCTCGGCAGACAAGTACCGCATCAACGCATCCATAGTCTGATACGAAGTAGAAAGATCGTTAAAATATGCAATAAATTATAGTGTTCGTAAAGTACAGTAAATCTAATTACCTGGGGCGAAATATGAGAAGACCGCCAGGCTATATCAAGAAACTCTTTCGCGGTTAGGGCCGTAGGGCCATCTATATGGACAAATCTTTTATGACAGAATTAACCAATAAGTTAGATAGTGACAATAACCTGGGTATGTAACAGTAAACTTTAATTGTGACTGTAAATAATAATTGACTACATACCCGAGACACAATACATTCTTCTGAAGGTCTTCAAACAATTTGGCGATATTGGGTAGGATGCGGAAACCCACATTGACTTTGGGGTCTAACTGGAAGTCCTGGTAAGCTGTGGGTGCTACCCTTGAACGCTTGCTTCTACGAGTATCGGGATTGTCTTTTTTCAAGATCAGAGGGGAGAACATATCCCAACGGTTTTTGATCAAGAAGCGGAAGAGCTGCTTCTTCTTGGGTTAGGCCTATCGAGAAAGAAGGTGCTTCTATCCCAGACTGTATGTATGGGAGGTAACAGTAGATAAACCAATTATTAGAGGGTTAACAGAGTTCAATGATTTGTCTCATAACATAAGGCTAAAATTCTTAGGGAAAATATCGGGTTCGGTGCCGCCAAGTTGTTGCCGCTTGAGGTTTCCAGAAGACGATTCGAAGGTGAGACATTGTCGTCTTCCTGCTATATGACAAGTTCTAGAAATTGTAAGTAGTCTTGTTAAGTTTAACGGATACGATAATATTTATCTGTCAAAACATTTATTAACAATTAACAGGAGAAATTGTATTAGTTACCTCGTGAGATAGTATCTCTGTCCTCTCATTGTCTGGAGGGAGTTGTGCTGCTGAGTCCGGTAAAACTACGTGTTCTTTTTCATTGGACTGATTGAAAGTAAAAGCAATGTAATGTAAGTGTAACTAGGGAAAGAAATTATGAGTAGTTCAAAAGAAATCTTACCTCCTCATTGTTAGAGGATGCCTGAATCTCATCTAGGACCCGCCTCACTGGGTCGTCCTCCTTAGGCTCCGAACTTTTGGAAGAGGTTTCCTGATCCTCTCCAGCATGAGATGCTTCTGCATTGTCCTTGTCCTTATCTGTGGTGCGATTTGGTAAATTGTTTGGGGGATGTCGTGTTCAGTTAGAATTGTTGCGGTAGACTTTCCCAAAAACTCAATGATGGCCATGATGACTCCCTTCTCCAATGATTGCATGTATTTGATAACAGCACTGTTTAGTCTACCTTCAATTCCCACAAGACTAGCGGCTACCTTCTTCACAATAGCGTCTGCTATTTTATACTCCATACCAACCATGGCGCCATGCAATTTCTCATAAATTAGATTAGCTAGAGGTTCAATCATGGCTGGACCAATACCCGATGACTCAGATGTCCCCCCCCCAAAGTTGCTTTGTCATGTCTATCCTTGGCCTCCTTTTCCCTTTGCTTGGAGAGATTTTGTCTTAAAAGGTCACTGGAGGAAATATCACCACAGAACATCTCATTGTTGAAAACGAACCCATCGTTAATGAGCTTAACAAGCGTGTCAACGGCAGGGTCCTCGCATTCATCATCCCAAGTAAAGTCCTGCTGAGAAAGCTAATCCTCCTCTGGGGCATCAAGAATGGATAGAACTTGCACCTGAAAAAACGCGTTAACAAAGCCGGTGGCGGCTAACTTTAATATTAACTGTTAATCACCTACTTAACTAGAAAATACTAAATGGAATCAATATGCATGTAATCTATCAATTAGATAAAAAGTAGAGATAACACAGACAGTTTCGGTTAAGCAGAGTTTTGTTATGTAATGCCGATTGATAGGTATAGTGGAACAAAATCAAGCATGGGACTGAGAAACAGATATTTAGTCTATTAGATGTTAACTATTTGGTTACTAACTATTAATACCGGTGGCAGTTAATATATATGTTACTAGATAAAAATGACCGAGAAGGATGTCAAACCTGGCATTCCGCGTTGAGGTCCCTGGCGTTTTTGGGATTAACAATCCATCTTGGAGTTGAGTTAACCTTCTCCAAACTGCCAGAAGCATCGCCAAAAATTTGTTCCTCCTCCGCCGGGATCTCACTCTCACTATCAGACTCAACAACAACAACAGAGGCATGGTGATGACTTCCTCTTTCAAAGCAGGGACAGCAGCAATTATGACAAGTTGAATAGATTCAACATAACCTCTTAATGCGAAAGAGTCTTGAGTGAGGAAAACTGCATCCTTCTTAAGTAAGGTTGATGTTACAAGTTTAAAAGAAATCCGTCCCCATGGATAAGCAATAAAATCATCAATATCCCTAATTAACTCGACATGTTCTGGAACAATTTTCGGAGAGTGAGAAGATGGAAGTAGGACTGAAGCCGTAATTGCTAGACATGAAAATCATGATCTTGTGGTTCGTATCCTTCACCTTGTGGGTCTTGAGCATCTCGATAATAGTATCCACAAAACACACTTTAAGAGAGCCAAATAACTCGTTACAATATAGTTTCTCCTTGAGAGGGTTCTTTCTTCTTTTCCGTGTCTTAGTAGGAATCCAGTTGCAATTAAGACCAGTAACAATAGCGAAATCCCTAAGAGAAATTCTGATTGGTCTTCCGGCGAAAATCAACCATATCTCGTACTTCTTCTTCGTCTTCAGCATCCTCACCAAAATGAAATGACCAAAAACACCAGAAAAAAATGGATTCTCGTCTAAAGCTAGAATTTTGGAGAACTGAGAATTTTAGAAGAACTCTATCTCTTCCTCGTCTAGGGATTTAATAAGCGAGTATATTTTCCGAGTCTTGTGATACGAGTTGACTCGTTCACCGATTGGTTTATCACCACAGGAGAATATACGGAGAGGAAGTATTAGATCTTCCATTGAACATTCGGAAAAGAAAAAGAATTAAACAGTTGTTGAAGATTGAGATTTACTTTTTCAGTTTGATACTTCGATCTCCGACTATGATTGTACTAGTGAATTACGTGATGCGATTTACAAATCTTCAGTAATCATTTCACACACTAAGCTGAATATATTTCAATTATACTTTGATACTTTGATCTCCGACTATGTAATCAGATGATTGATGTCATTTACTAATAAGCTATTCTGAACCTAATAAAAACTCCTCATTATTACTAAGGAGATATCAAACTTTGACTTTATAAAAATAATAGACCCGTTACGTCAAATATGACCCTATTGTTATAAATCACTCTTATCGATCAACTAACCGATTAGACTCAATAAATTCAATCAATCGTCCAAAGTCTACAAAATGTATTTAAGTCGCCAGAGCTTTCGTGGTCCTTGTCAAGCCTTTCTTTTCCTCATTATCTACAATCTTCACTTGCTAAACGAGACACTTAAACCCTAAACTCTACTTAAACCTTCTTAAGAAGTACCCTATATATACATATATCTTGATCTTTCTCTATTCCTCGCACTGGATTCAAAAACTTTTAACTAAACGTTAAAAACCCTTGAAATGGCCGGCGCATTCGAGTTCGTTGTGACCAGGAAAAACCCTGTACTCGTCACTCCATATTCAGAAACCCCAAAAGGTCTACACTATCTCTCGAATCTCGATCAAAACATCGCTGTGACGGTAAAAACGTTATATTACTACAAATCAAATTCAAAAACCAACCAAGAATCATATAATGTGATAAAGAGATCTCTCTCTGAGGTTCTTGTTCATTACTACCCTGCTGCCGGACGACTGACAATCAGCCCGGAAGGGAAAATCGCGGTGAATTGCACCGGAGAAGGAGTCTTCTTGGTGGAAGCTGAGACTAATTGTGGGATAGAAATGATCAAAGAGGCGATCTCCGCGAATAGAATGGAGACGCTTGAGAGACTTGTTTACGACGTTCCTGGTGCCCGGAATATTCTTGAGATTCCGCCCGTGGTAGTTCAGGTAAGGTTTCGATCGATCACTTAATTAATTCTTGCTCTTTGCATTATTTGCATACGTTGTGAGTTTTGTTAAAGGATGTTGTTGGTTCGAGGCATCCATCAATGTATTTACAATGACCTGGACATGTTTAACTATATGCAGCCATCAGAGTAGCTAGCAGTCATCGTATTGTTGACGATCATTTTCTTATTTTAGCCATTTTATAGTATCAATCGATTATCATATTTAATTGTCAGAAATAAGTACGTTTGCCATATGGTATTTAATGGTTTTGTCCAAAATATATAATTTGAATATACTCCCTCCCTTCAGTTTTATTTGACGTTTTACTGCTTTTTCTTAATTTGTGTCAATTTATTTGTAGTTCACATAATTTTTGCGAATGATGAAATATGACTTTTTCTACCCTAGTAGTGCTTTTTAATAACGATAATTAAGTTAAGTTGATATTAAACACAAATGAAAAGGTTAAAATAGATATTAAATCCAATTTCTTCATTGATGTGTCAAGCTATAAAACGTCAATTAAATCCAAACTGAGGGAGTATAGTGTAACAAAATGAAAAGCTATCAAATGATCCAATTCCATATTCTTTTGACAACTGACATCATACCCCCCTCTAGCTATGTTTCTTTTGTTATGAGCATATGTTAAAATAAGTCTTAAAATAGTAACAAATGATCAGCTGCTTGAACGTTAATCACCCATTAATAATTTAGCTAAAGACTAGAGAGTGCTCACTCTTACTATGTGCTATTTAAGTTAGAATCATGCGTAATGGTTAAACTAAGCAAAGCTGTGAATAATTAAGTAGGTTGTATTGTTTCATTTCCACCCTATTTTTTGTTCGTTTATTATTAATTCTAAAATGTTGGATTAAATAAAGAGTATTTGCATGTACACACATATATTTTTGTTCGTTTCATTCCACAGGTGACAAGTTTCAAATGCGGCGGTTTTATCCTCGGACTAGGCATGAGCCACAACATGTTTGATGGTGTGGCAGCCTCAGAATTCTTGAACTCGTGGGGTGAGACAGCCAGGGGCCTCCCTTTATCTCTGCCACCTTTCTTGGACCGTACGATTCTCCAACCAAGAAACCCACCCAAAATCGAGTTCCCACACAATGAGTTTGACGAAATCGAAGATATTTCCGGCACCGAGAAACTCTATGACGAAGAGAAACTCGTCTACAAATCTTTCCTCTTCGAACCACAAAAACTAGAGAAGCTTAAGACTATGGCAACTGAGGAAGATATTGATAGTAAAAACAAGGTTACAGCATTTCAAGCCTTAACCGGGTTTCTTTGGAAAGCGCGGTGCGAAGCGCTACGGTTTAAACCGGACCAACGAGTTAAACTTCTTTTTGCGGCTGATGGACGGTCGAGATTCATTCCTCCTCTCCCCAAAGGATATTGCGGGAATGGGATTGTGTTGACTGGTTTGGTGACATCATCAGGAGAATTGGTTGGAAATCCTCTTTCTCGTTCGGTTGGTCTAATTAAGAGGGTGGTCGAGTTGGTTACAGATGGTTTTATGAGATCGGCTATTGATTACTTGGAGGTGAAGCGGACCCGGCCGAGTATGACGGCAACACTTCTGATTACGTCGTGGTCAAGATTGTCACTACATAAACTTGATTTTGGCTGGGGAGAACCGGTTTTCTCTGGACCGGTTGGGTTACCGGGGAGGGAAGTGATCCTGTTTTTACCTGGTCTCGACGATATGAAGAGTATCAATGTGTTCCTTGGACTTCCTGCCTCGGTTATGAAGAATTTTGAAGAGCTTATGAAGATTTGAAAAGAGTTCTATAATAAATTTCGCAATGAAGTTATGATTTACTTATACGAATTAATTAAATACAATCATAACAAGAAACAATGATGCCCCGTTTACTATTACAAGAAAAATATGTGATTATATTTTTTATATTTAGTATAAAATATTATATTTGTTTGAGAATTTTTGTCCAAAAACCTATAAAATTTTAGCTTGGAAAGTAGTTAGAAATTTGGTTGTCATATTAATATTTTCTTGATGATCTACTTGAACCAAAGCTGTATTTACATTATATCCTTCAAAAAGGACAGCTTTCTTGTAAGTTCTATATTTACGAAATCTTTTAAAAGTGATTAGAATTATGACATTTTGAATATAATGAGACACAGTGAGAAATAAATCATACATACTTCTTTTACAAAAAAAAAAAATCATATATACTGATCAAAGGAGGTTTTTGGTTCAAGTTTTCATTCATACTACTATATTAATTGTTTTGTTTGTGTTTGTATATAATTTCTTAAAATAATGTATAGTTATATTTTTATCGGTTTTAACTGAGTATTTTATTTTAAAAAGTTGCTTGAGGTTTTTGTAAATATTAAATATAGATTTCTAATTTTCTCTTTAGCACATATTTTGGGTTATTATGAAATATGTATCCATTATTCACAATTAAAACACTGAAGATAAAAAAATGTTATTTGGTATTTTTTAATGTTGACATCCACTTTTCCTATTATTAGGTGCTAAACATAATTTTTTTTATATATTTTATTTTTCTTTTAATTTATCTTTGAAGTTTCAAATAATGCTTTATGGATATTATGGTATTTTATTGGGTGATTAATTTTCCTACAGTCTTTGAATAGTTTTAAAGTATATCATACATGGTTAATTTAAGATGGTTTATTTAATCTTTCTATATTCTGAAATAAATCTTTGTACCTAAGTTTTTTTTGGTGTAAAATATTAGGTTGGCATAAAACATGAGGAAAAAGTTATTTTTCTAGTCAAAATTATGGGGCTTACCAAGATTGAACTCGAGACCCTTGCACCCTAAGCCTGTGACCTAAGTTTTACAAACATTATAAGTGTTTTGGATAAGTGTCGTATATACAAAATTCACCTGGTTTTGTTATATAGCGCAACCGTTAGGGTTATCGTCGGTGATCATTCCGAAAATGTTCATGTTTCGATGAGAGTACATGACGTAATTTTCACTCACGTAATTGTATCCTAAACCATGATAATAGCTTTGACTTCTTATTGGATAAGCTTGACCTTCAATCCAGTACCTCTAACCGTACATTTGAGTCGTTGGATATATACACATATTACATCTTATTCACCATTGTCATAAGAGCACCTTCTCCTAGGCTGCCACTTTACTTCTTCTCACCGTGCCTAGTTTCTCTCTTTTTCTTCTTGCCAGCTTCAACATCATTCATTTTCTTTCTTCTCTGCGGTCAACAACTTCTTTTTTCTTCTAGCCACCCTCTATTTTCTTCTCTCCATCTTCCCTTCCTTCTTTGTCTCTTTCTCCCGCAGTCGGGACTTCTTTATTTAAGGCAGGAGGGGTGGCACAATCTTTGACCGGAAAAAGAGATTGATGGTTCATTGAGTTTTTGGCGAGTAAAAGCACAAGTTCTTTAACATCCATCCATCCATAGTTCCTTATAGACAATCTTTGACCGGAGTTTACGCGGGGTCGTTGACATAATTGTTACTCTCTATAAATATGTGGAGGTGATGAAGTGTTTTATTGTGGTATTTGTTGATGTTGTTAGCTTCAATGTTGTTGGCCTTCAAATAATTCTCAATCAAAGCTTTCACTACAAGAAAGGGGATTTTATACCGACACCCAATTTTGTCAGAGTCTCGTCGGAAGACCTCACCTCCGAGAATTTTCCGAGAACGATCAATTGGTCGGCGTTTGACGGTCGGAAATAATAGGATGTCGGTACGTTGTCGGAATTTAACGATAAAACGTGTGTCTCGGAAAATTTCTCGCTAATGGTTGTCGGTAATTACTTTGGCATTTCCGACAAATTTAAACAAAAAAAATAAAAAAACAAAATGCAAAAATAACAATAAAAATATAAATAAAACAGAAAAGAAGATTAGTTCTGCAAGATGACCAATGTCGACGTTGTTGTTTGGCCCCGGAAACAGAGGAACATCTATTTTTTGAATGTCCTTATGCTAAAAGGGTGTGGAGAGCTTCAGGAATTTCAAACTCTATTATCAATAGTTCAACTACTAGTCTGGAAGAGAAGATCGAGGCTTGTTTACAATGTTCAACATCAACAACGCTGGCTCATCTACAAGACTTGCCCTTTTGGATACTTTGGAGAATATGGAAAAGCAGGAATATTTTGATTTTCCAGCGTACAGAGGTTCATTGGAGGAGATTGTTAAGATATGCAAAGGAAGATGCAAGAGAATGGAAGTATGTAGATCAACAAGAGATACACCGGACTACCAGAGAATGGAATCTTGGGTACCAAGGTACAAGTAGTCGTTGGAAAAGACCAAAACAGGGTTGGTTTAAATGTAATACGGATGGGGCTTTCCAGAACTCACAAACTCAGAGTAAAGCTGCATGGATTGTTCGAGATGACCAAGGAGTCTACAAAGAAGCGAGCCAAGCCAAGGGAAGAATATGTCAAGATGCTTTAGAGAGTGAATTACAAGCAATGCTCATGGCCATACAACACTGTTGGGCTCATGGATATGGACGCGTTATAATAGAAAGTGATAGTAAGAAAGCTATTGAGATCATGAACAATGATAGACTCCACTTTGCTTATTACAATTGGAAACGAGATATTAGAGACTGGTCTCAGAAACTGCAAGAAGTGGAATTTCAATGGGTTCAAAGAAGTGCAAATAAGGCGGCAGATCATTTGGTACACAACCTTGCGGATGAAGAAAACTTTGTGTTCCATTATTATGTACCTCAATGTTTAACAAATGTTATACATGAAGATTATGTAAACTCAAGTTTCTAATTTAATAAAGCTGATGTTATAAAAAAAAAAAAAAAAAACAGAAAATACTATAAAATTCAAATATTACTACATAAAATTAAAATGAACATTAAACTTATACTTGTATAAAAACAAAAACAACGAAAACATTAAAACTATACTAAAGCTAAATATACTATGCCCGTGAACGGATCTACGGGTTTGTGGCGGTGCTTGAAGAACGGTGGTGGCAATCGAAGAAACAGCGACGGTGATAGAATAAATGGCGACTGTAGTGGCGTTGATGGTGGTGGCTGTGGAAAACCGGCGACTGATGGTGGTGGCCGTGGAAAAACGGCAATCATGGAGGCCTGAAAGGAAAGGCGACGGAGGCGGATGTAGAAGAAACCGTGGTGTTAGCGAGAAGTAGAGAGTTGACAACAACATTTGTCATTTCAAAGAATAAACAGATCTGAAAAAAAAAACAGATCTGAGTAGAGAGATAGTTGGAGTAGAAGAAGAAGAAGATGGAAAATAGAACGACAGAGGAAATTAAGAAATAGACAATCTAATAATTGTGATTGATTAACAGAAATTAAGGAACAAGATTGCAAGAGCAGAGAAGATAAGTTAAGGGAGAAAGGAATCTTAAAGAGAGAAGAAAAGTAAAAGAAAACAGAAAGAATCGTAAAGATAAATAATGGGAAAGATGATAAAACAAACTGAATGGCTGTAAAAAAATCTTCATAATAATTAATTGATAAAATTAACAACAGTACGGGGTTCCGATGAATTTGCGTCGACTTTATACATCTTCCCGACGAAACAATATTCTTGTCGGTAAATAAAAGTTTTCCGAGAAATATTTTCCGATAAAATTGTGACAAACTCTTTATATCGGAACTTTCTGATCAGATTCCGACAAATTTGTTTATTGTCGGTAAATTCTCTGAAGTGCGTCGCTAATTCTCCAACAACAGAGATTCTCGGAAAATTTAGTCGGAGTATACATCATTTTCTTGTAGTGTTTGTATTTGTTAGCTAGAAGGAGCATCTTAACCAAATGTGCAGTTTGAGATCCTTGGCAACAAAGTAGTAGTTAAAACCAAAGTTGAGTGCCTTGCAAGAAAAGGATGGTGTTGTAGTAAGGAAGACATGAGATTGCACCAATTTTGGAAACAATAACCATACACATGTCATCAGGCATTGTCTCAAGGGTCCTCATATTTTCTCTGGTTGGCTCCATGAAAGTGGGTAGGAAGCTGACTGTGAGGTTATGTTTTTAGTTTTGGTTTACGGTGCTCTTTGTTGCATTATCTATTATATTAAAAGAGAAGTCATGACTCACTTCATGTGTAATTTTTTGGTTTGGACAATCCTTATTAAAAAATTTATAAATTTTTACATACCATCATTATAATATCTTTTCATATCTTTAATTTTTATTTGAAATAACAAATAAATAGTTTTAAGAAAATTCTAACAAAATCTTTTAGAATATTTTCAAGATATAGTTTCAAAAAAAATTTGATTAAAGTTTTATTTATCATAAACATATAATTAAAATTTTAGTTGATTTTTTATTTATAAAAAAAAAATAAACTTATCTAAAATATTTTTAACAGTAACCCAAATTTTTGTTTATGTATTATGTAGATCCAACTTAATTTACTTTTTACAGATATTTCAAATTTAGAAATAAAACAAAATATATAAGTTAGTAATGTTACATAATAATGTTTTTAAATTTTTTTACAAAAATACAAATTTATAAAATTTTATATTAATAATATTATAAGCCACATAAATATTATTATAAAATTGGATAGTATACATAATCAAATTATATTTATTTATTGATAAATTTTACTCCCTTGGTTTCTTAATATAAGATGTTTTGGATCATTGCAAAACATTTTATATTTTTTAAAAAAATAAATCTTTTAAAATATCATTTGAAACAGAATGAATATTATATAATTTTAAATATTTTTGTATTAAAATACCCGCACGGTTGTGCGGGTCGAGATCTAGTTTATTATTTATAAAGAAGTAACGTTGAGTTGAGATTGTTTAGGTTTTCTGTGTTAAATCAAAGTAATGCACTTTATTTTTTATTTTATTTTTTGACATCAAAAGTAATGCACTTTAAAGTCAACATTTTTACACGTTTATTTATATTTATTCTAATATAACCCGAACCAATTTGAG